GGCAGAGATGCGACCATAGCTACTATTGAACTTGAATAGGAAGTCATATGCTGGCAATCTAACTGTGACCGTGAAATTGACCTTTGACCTTCCCATGAATTATACTTTGCAAATTTCTTCACGCTTACATCTCCAAAACTGGTAGAGATACGCCCATACCTACTAATGAGCTTTTTTTACGTCTGGTCGGGCTTGTTGCTGGCACGTTTCACCTGTCCCCAGTAATTTTCCACTGCCCCCCTCCCCCCCCCTCCAAAAAAAAATTGTATAAATTTCTCTATATTTAAGCTGGTTCCTGAAGGTGTGTATACACCCGGTTATTATGGACAGTGTTGCATGTTGTCCATCATTTCGAGGCATGCTCCGTCATTACAGGCTCAATACTACAACAAATTCCCCTTAAAATCCGTTACAAGCCGCTAAATAATGCAAATGAATGTTTCTCTATTTCACCTTCAATTACTCAACATCGGCCCGAACGAAGCCATATTTGATAAAACCCCTTTACACTGGACGGCGTCCTTTCTCTATCCTTGAAACTGGCCATGAAACTGGCCAGGACGCCATTGGACGCTGAAAGAACGCACACAGAACGTTCAAGTATCGCCGAAGACGCCATGGTGGCATGTTCAAAACAATCGCACAGAGAACGCGAAGGGTGGACGCTGAAAGGTCGCTCAAGGGACGCAGAGAGGACGCACAAGCATCGCCGTGGTCGCAGAAAGGAGGCACAAATTTAGCTTTGGTTGCAGAATGAATACTCAATGATCGACCAGTAGTAAGCACGTAAAATGCTGTTTGTTTTTACTCTCAAACGGGGCCGTGCTAAGGTATTCATCACCAGAGACAAGAAATCTGAGGGTATAGCTTGTAATGATCTCATACTAGCTTCCAATTGGTATTTTTTTTCTAAAATTCTTGAACCGATCCATTTTTGGAGGTAATTTTAGAACGAATATTTTGCCTTTTTTTTTCAAAATGCAGTCCTTGTCGCAGTTTTTGCAGAATGCGTCTTTTGAAAACGAACTCAAACATTCTGTGTTGTGTCACACGGCCTTTTTTCGTCTTCGGTGTCTGCCTATCATTCTTATAAGGACAACAATGATCATGTGGCTTATTATCAGCCCATGCAGACCTTGCATTACAGTTGTTTGAAAAAAGAACTTTATATCTAATTATATGTTTTGTTTTCTGAAGATGTTCTTAATTGGGTGACCGGGTTACTGATGAACAAATATAAAAGAGTCAGAATATATCGAAGAACGCCCAAACAACGCTCATTGGTCAAGCAGGAGGCAAAAAGATCGCGGAATGGTCGCCACTGATCGTCGGTGAAGGTACAGAGAACGCAACGAGGACGCTCAGCGGTCGCTCAAACATCGCAATGGACGCCGTAGGCTGCACAGGAGGCGCGCACTGGAGGAAGGCAGGTCGGTCACTGGACGCACAGGTCGCTCAGTAGACGCACAGGTCGCTTGCAGTTTTACACAGGTAAAATCAAAATTCGGTCGTTCAAAGGACGCACAAGGGACGCAGAGGCCTTTACACTGGGACACGATTTCATTTCTTTGACGACCATTCGGCCTCCTGATTACATTTTTAATCGCAGAAGGGACGCAGAAACGATGCCNTTCTTACTTTGTCTGTGACGGTCTTCCATGATTATGTTAAAAGCTGACAGTATTCCAAATTAACTACTCTACCATAAGTTGAGCTTATTAATTTATGACGCAACTAAAATGCCTGGTGAACAGAGGGAATGTAGGAGCTCGTAAACAATTTAACTGGTAAATTATGCACCGCCACACTCCCCAAGCCAGGTAAACAGGTAACTCAACGTGTCAGATTCTTGGCATGCTTTCAATGTATCTCTCTTTTTTTCATTGGGTAATATTATGTTATTGGTATTTTTAAAAGACGTTTAATGTCGATATTTAAAACAAGCGAGTTTGGACACGGTCGCAAACATTCAAGAAAGAGACCTCACGAAGATTATCTTGAAGCATGGACATGATCAGGCCAGGGGCAGATTTAGGCCGTCTTCAGGGTCTTCCGGAAGACGGTCAGATTTTCAAGTTTACATTGACGGGTATCTAATTTTTTCTGTCGGAAGACGGTCAAAAATGGAGGATGGATCAACAAAGATAATTTGGAAGATTGTCAGAAAATATCTCTGGATCCGCCCCTGAGGCATTACTTCCGTGGATCCCCCTGACACCCCTCCCCCTAAATCCGCCGCTGATGAATGACTTTGCCCTTGCTAACAGTTTAACATGACGCACTGGACATGACCAAGTTATGTTTCTCATCACTGATTAGCACCTGATTGGCACAGGTACATGCCGGTATGTGCATGTAGCATGGGTCCAAGATTGGAGAGAATGCGATCTGGACATTTTCTTACCTGTTGTGTCAGTGTTGGTTATTAGGCCAGTAAACGAGCATATTTTCGACATTGAAGTTGGAAAAAATATCTGACAAAGGTTTCTCAACTGACTCCGGTTTGTTAAAGGCCCAATATAGCCAAAAAAATTTTCCCCTTGAATCCCCCCACCCCCATGGCAAAAACCCGTTTTCGGCGAAAATCCAAAACGGCCGCCATTGAATGGGGTGGGTCACCTTGAAGTCCATATCTTGGTAACCCAATGTAACAGAAACATGTTATTTATAACACACTTATAAGTATTTATAACACACTTATAAGTGTGTATTTCCACTAAGTGTGGTACCTGCAATCACTTGCGACATTAGTTACAAGGTCAAGGCATTTCTGAACAAAAATGCCATAATTTCTACATTTTGGTAACGCTATGTCATTAAAACATTTTAAATATCAACTTTTTCTATGTTATAGATATCGCCAATCATTTGCAACTTTTGCATAAAGCCACCAAAGGTCAAGGTTATGACCTAATTTCAAGTACATGGTATTTTTGGAGCAGAAAAATGCCACATTATATGTGATCCAGTGTCACAGAAATATGTCAACTACCACTAAGGAAGGTTCCGCCAATAATTTGCAACTTCTGTCAAGGTCACAGGATGTCACGGTTGTGATCTAATTTTCAAGGTCATGGCATTTTGGCTCGGGCAAAATTTGTCATCATATCTCCATTTTGATAACCCAATGTCACAGAAACATGTTTTAAGTATCAATTCATATACTACGTGAGATATCGCCGATCATTTAAAGCTATTCCTCAGGTCACCAGAGGTCAAGATCGTGTCCTTATAGCAAGGCCGTCATTAAATTTGTCAAAAATTGATCTAACGGTAATCAAAATGCAAGACGGATGGTTGCTTGTAGATCATTTCATTACAGAGAAAAGGCAGCGGCATAACTGTTTACTTGGTCATAATAACGAACGTTATTACGTCCAAGCTGTTCAGTACTCATTTAAATCAATGGCCTTCTGTTTACATGACTGAAAGGTATAATGTATCCAATTGAAAATCGCTCATTGTTAAATCTGTCTGAATACCCAGACATTTAAATAATAAAACATCCGAAGTACCTGCACCTTGTGTCAATATTCCATTGTCAGAAAAAGATGGCGGTGTAAAAGATTCATGAGTCATTTAGAACTGAATTGTACAAAACATACCATTCTAGTGCAATAGGAGACAAACAGTGCTTTGTGAGAAGGCGAAAAATTACTTTTTTCTCAAGAAAAATTACATTTGGTTGAAACTTCCATATACATGTAGGATACCTTTAAAGCTTAAAATAACACGACATTAACTAGTTTCATACTGGTCAAAGACAACTTGTAACTCAATAACCACCACAGACTCACATATAAGGCATGTAAAATCTGGAAATGCTCTTACTTTCGTACGGGATTCTATACTACTTCAGTTGGGGTATTGGTTCACATATATATACTTTACCTATATCTGTCATTGCTATGCTCAACTGCAGCAAGGTAAGGAAGGATGCTGGTGAGAACCTGCTGCCAGTGACTGAAAATTGTCATATATTAATGACGAAAACTAATGAGATACAAAGTTACAAAACTGGGGACATAATATAACATCCCCCAAACTATGTAAGTGCCATAATATAAGAATAATATAAAAATAATAATAATAATAATAATAATAATAATAATTAAGTATGTTTGTAAGTATGAGTGTAACCAAGATTAATTAAGAAAAATATGAGAAATCGCAACAGCTATAAGGGCAAAAAGTTGGCACAAATGAAAATAAAAGGCCATAGTTTCCCACCCCAACAGACTTGATAAATAGTTGCGGATCAGGTCTCGATACTGGTTCTGCAGCCTGACAAGAGTGATATGAAAGGATAGAACAACTTTTGACACTGATGAGCTTGCCACAAGACATCAGCTTCAAGGCTTGTCTACCAATACACATCATACCTTCTATTAAGGTGTTCACTTGTGCTGAATTAGTGAATGAAGCGGTCTTGCTTTCATGTAGGGTCCGCCATATTTGATCCGCGGATTGGTAGATCCGAGGATCACATGTTCTGAATAGGCTCTATAAAACAAGTTCTGATCCAGATTTTAATGTGGTGAATTGTTTTTTTGCCACCTTGAAAACGGGCAGTGTGGTCCGATATACTGGTGAATTCAGGATCATTCGCTGCCGAGTTTGGTAGTTGAGTAGGTCTGCTTTAGCGGGCACCGTACCTCAACCCAAGGGGGGGGGGGGGGGGGGGGGGAGTGTCGGCTTCGCACCTGCAGACCCCCCCCCCCTTAAAATAATCCTGGGTCCACCCCTGTAAAACGGACGACTCCTGTGGTAACTAGTACGGATAACAATTCATGAAAAGTGCCTCTATTAATTATCTGAAAAGAGCCTTATCTTGATTAATATTTGATAAATCGATTTACCGTAGCCGCCTAATTTACTCAGCAACAATTATTCCCTGGTAAATAATACATTCAGCGAAAATAACCAGCAGGTGAATTGCACGACATTTGTTCGTCTGATTGACCCACTTAGGTCATTTTCAATAAAGGCTGAATTAGAACTACACGCTCCATTGTGTATCGTTCATGTTGGTCGGTGTGAGCGCATGCGCAGTCCAAGTCATAGTTGACTGATTTATCAGGAAGACATTCGATCGGAGCAGAAAGGAAGACCAGTAAATAGCGCGATGAAGTGTCTTTGGGCATTGATGCTAGTTTTCACAGGTATTATCTTCGTTCTCACGTCATCTTGTTTAAGACCCAGTATTGTGACTTGTAGGGAAGCTAATCAGATTGCATGATACTGCTCGGATTTAAAATTTGTGACAGTTTGATCTGCGACAAAGTGATCGCACAGTTATTGTAGAGTAGCTGACATCGGTCAGTTTTCTCTCGATAAAGTCACACACTTTAGTCTTTGATAAAAGGTATGAGTATCTAAAATTGTTTTCCTGGAAATTTCAACATTTCTCTCTAAATCGGGAAGATATTTATATCGGACACCATTGACAAAATTATTTAAAATTTTTTTCTCTTATTATTCTTATTGTTTTAATAGATACTTAGAAATAACGTTTCATACTTGGTATTGCTTAATCGTATCATTTTAAAAATACACCGTGAAAACATTTCACGTGGTCTCTAGATAAGATGATAAAACATAGTCATTCTTGACCAAATAAAGAGAGTCACACACTTGTAGGGGTCTTGATCAGTGTGAATAGTAATTTCGCGCAAAGCAAGCTCCCCAGTTCTAACATAAGCCTCAAGGAAAATAGGACCATTGCCTCATCTATAGTGTAATGAGGAAATACATGTATAATGACGCTACCTGCAGACAAAGGAAAGGCCACGGTGGCAAGGGACACTAACACCTACAAACAAAAATTGCCGAAATGTCCCATTGTAACGCTTATTAGACACTACTTTAGTTTCTACAGTAATAAAAAAAACTACTAGTAGGTGATGACTTTCACTACTTTACTAATTAGATATATATCTATTTGCATTACAGCTCCGTGCACCAGCGTGCAATGGTCCTCGAACGAAGAAACTGCATTAGACGCCTTGATAATGGACGTTCTGTCCTGCTTTAACATCCCAGGATTGTCGTTGGCTTTGGTGAAAAATGGACGTATTATTCTGGCGAAGGGCTACGGCGTAAAGGACGAATTGAGCCGCGAACCTGTTAAAAACACTACACTATTTGATATAGGCTCATTGACGAAAGCATTCGCTGCTACTTTGCTATCGAAAGAATTATATGGAATGGGGTAAGAATGAAAGCGATTTGTTCGTAATTTGGTATATGTAAGCAGGCTTTAACTTCACATTATGTTCGTAGTACATTTTAGTAACATTGATTTCGGTTTGTGCAGGGCGAGTTATTTCAGGTACATGGAATTCGTTTATCAATCCTTCTGTTGTACAGAAATTGTTGGTGGTATTTTGCTGTAGCTTTTTTCCTAACATTTTGTATGTCATTCCTTCAAACTAGACTAAAGAAATCGGCTACGATCGAAGATTTAGTGAAAGATTGGTATTTCTTGCCTGAGGGCTGAAACCACTAACATATAGGACTTCTTTATTAAGATTTTCCCCTGACTTCAAAATTAATAATGAGCATCACTGTACAATAAATGCGATTTTTCCCCTCAGACTTCACTTAGACACACCGCTGACGTCAGTGGAAGGACTGCGCGATTTGAAATTTTCGACGGAAGAACTGACGTCACATGTCACAGCTCGGGACCTTCTCAGTCACAGGACGGGCATTCTCAACTACGACAAGGCCCGACTGAACGGAGAGATAACGTTAGACAACCTTGCTGAGTAAGTCAGAATAAGAGCAGTCCAGACATATAAACTTTATTATGATAAGCTATCTGATATTATTTGTTTATTATTTATTTGTATGTTTGTACATTTTATGAGGGAAATGAGCATTCGATGAAACAAAAACAGAACCCTGAGGGGGTTAAGATTCTGAGTTTCAGGTTTAATTGACGCAACACGCTGTACTTATTAAAAGAATCTGGTTATCAGACGTACTTTTAAGATCTCTAAAGTTGGAAGTTATTTTAGTTATAAAACGTTCATTTGATATCTCAGTCATTTAGATAAATAGTCTACTTGTAATGTCTTTTAGTTAAAAATCGTTCAATTGATATATAGATAAATAAATCATTTAGATAAATAGATAGTGTACATGTAATGTAGATACGCGTTATTCAGTGACTTGGGCAAATACAATATTCAATACTTGTATAAATTTTAAAAATGCGCACTTGCTTTTTTTTAAATCACATCGGTTATTTATTCGTCTTTGTTTGCTTTGTTTTTAGACACCTACCGGATTTCGAAGCAGGCTATCCTCTCAGAAGCAAATTCCTGTACAACAACCTCATGTATGGCCTAGTTGGTCACGTGACACAACGTTTGACCGGGAAACGCTGGGCAGATGCCTTGCAGGACGAGTTGTTGACACCATTACGCATGCTCAATACCGCCGTTCTCAACTCCACTAATTATGAACAATTTCATCTGCCGACACCCTACGATTTTCCTGATGACACACCTTATGAACCTCGACAAATATCCACTGATGTCTTGAAGTAAGTGCTCTTTGGTTTAGGGGTCATTTTCATTTTTTTTTTACATGAAATTCAGAAAAGGTCTTTCATTTGTGTACACATTATTGGCATGCAATTTTTCTTATTTCACACGAATAAAAGTTTTAAACTCCTGGGCCCGGTTGCACCAACCGGTCGTAAGTGAGGCGTAGCAGTTGCGCCGGCGTAAACCTGGCGCAAATCGCTACGCCCGAGTAACGCCAGTTGCACCAAACTGGAATAGTGTTTACGTCGGTCTTAACTAAGTCGTAAATTTACGCCTGCCAGGTAGGAGGAGTAAGTCGGTCGTAGCTCGTTTTCCACTATGGCTAGGCTGGCACAGAGAGAGTTTGATGACAATTATCGTAGATAACGTAGATTATGTGGGTTGTTTTTGTTTGTTTCTTACACAAAACTTCCGTCTGCATAGCTTGGTTTTTAAAAAAACTTATTATATATATATATATATATATATATATATATATATATATAAGTAATTATTAAATACATTATGTGTGTACGTAGCCATGTACATGTATATGCATGTGCTCAAATTAAATCTTACCACTCATGTCGACACGCCTTGGCTCTCAGCAGTACGGTTTCTTTAATGCTTTTCACAATTTTTGACAAACCATAACTAACTATAATCATTTTTTATTCACATTTTATATCATTTATATTTTACTGTATATAAACATAGAGACGAAAGCTTAAAATATCAACATTTTAAGGCTCATATAATATGTATGAGGTATATTGTATTTCTCAATCTCCAAGATGTAAGATCGATTGAATTAAATGATACCTCACGGTGTAACCATAGATAAAAAAGGTCATGAAATTGTCGGCACTGTTGTAAAATTATAAAAAGAAAGCAATGCTGGCTTTTTTGCATTATTTTCAGACTCAATAGTTTCGATTACAAATGTGAAGGTGTTCAAATCCATTAATAGAAATACGTACTGCCTCCAACGCGTTTTTCTCATTTACAACAGCATACTATAATAGCATACTATAATATTATTTTGATTCGGAATATATTTACGATTTTATTGCCATTTATACAAGGCAACAGCAAAGTTAACGTATTTTAACGTTCTTATTTCTAAATAAAAATGGGATAATGTGGCTCATGAATTTCTCCGTCACTGAAATGCTCCTTTTGTGTTTATTCATGTCATCATTCTATTATGACTGCAGCTGAGAACTCCTCATTCACGTATTGTTTGCCAGTGATGCAACGGAGCGTTACTCGGGCGTAGTTACGACCATCAGTTTTTGTCTTGGTGCAACGGGCGTAAGCAGGGAGAGTAAACCTGGCGCACGGACGCCAGGCGTTGCGGTTTACGACAGTCGTAGCCGAGTAAATTTACGCCCTGTTGGTGCAACCGGGCCCTGATTATTATTTTCAATTCATTTTACAGATTATGGTCAATGAATCCCCCGTCAATGGCTATCGTTTCCGACGCAATAGACATGGGGAAATGGTTACTGTTTCAACTTAACAAGGGCAAGGCGGAGGGTGGCCTTCAAGTAGTTTCAAAGAAAGCTCTTGCAGAAGTTTACAGACCAGTGATTCTATCATTTCATCCCCGCAACAAACTTACAGTCCGACCAACCACTCCAGTCACTTTGCTTTTTGAAGAATATGGCTGTGCTTGGAAAAGTGGCCATTACCGAGGTACAAGATTTTTAGCTGGCACTTTTCAGTCATTATAAGTGATTATTAATATTTTCCATTTAGTTTATTTAATTATGGCATTTATTTATTTATTTATTTATTTATTTATTTATTTATTGTGTTGATGAAGAAAGATATTAGAAGAATCCAATCTTAATTTATTTGATTATCATATTTATCAAGTCTCCCAAGTTTGCATAGTCCTCTTGAGATTTTTTATGCCCGTGAAAGTGTACTGATAACCTGGTGATGGCGTGTTAACCTGTTTACCTGATTGTACTCATCGAGAATTTTCATACAGGATTGTGTCCGTTCACGTAGACCAATCGATGGTGTCTATGGAAATTGGGTCTAAGACGCACGTAACAAATGGGTCCTAGAATTATATGAGACATACTTTGTCACCTAATTGTTCTTGTAATGGAGGCAGCATAGCATTCAATATTACCAAGAAGGAGACCTTTTCTAATAGAATCGTGACATGTCATATATGGTAAAACGGTTACGGGTCAATATATATTTTCATTCTCATTCCTCGTTTTAGGATACCCCATAGTGGCACACACTGGGTCAACTCACGGATTTTCTTCCATTCTCTCATTTATTCCATCAAAACAGAGTGGCATCTATTTGAATTTCAACGCAATGGACAGGCCTCACCTGCGAAGGCACGTCTTGATGGCGCACTTGTTGGACGTCGTTCTGGAGGAGAAACCGTGGCTTAACAGTTCCACTATTTGCACTTTTCCCGCACCATTCGCTCAGTGGCAACACACCCCCAAGTCTGGAGTGAACAAAACCCCGGGTACAGGAACAAGACCACTGAACAATTATGCTGGGCAATATCACCACCCTGTATTTGGCACCGTCACCGTGGCACATAACGACACAGAGCCGTTTCTACGCATGTTTTATGGACCGCTAGGACAGTGGGTGCTTCATCCAAATAAGTCTGATGAGTTTTATGGGGAGGGCGAGGGCGCCGTTTGGAACTTTGATCTTTGGGGTCTCAAGTTCAGTAGCCAAGACAAAAATAGTGGTGAAATTGATGTTTTTGTCATAACATCTTTTGAAGAGAGAAAACCCCCAGTCTTCCTGAAGGTGACGGGAAAACAGACGACATCTGTTTCGGATGTAGGCTTTCTCTCTTACCTTATATTATTTTTGTTTACTTTACTGGCAAGATATAAGTTGAAAAAATTAATACGAACATAAAATAGTTTAAAACATAATTATTTTTGTAGATATATTGTAAGTATATATATCTGGGCGGTAAGCTTACGGCCTATAGGCTCACGATTTTCAAAATTTGTCAAAACGTATAGTTGATGTATAGCTTTGCGATTCGTACGATTTCCTCGGCTGCCGCCTGCATCCGCACAGACGTTGCACGAAAAGGGACTTAGGTTGCTAAATGTTAACAAGCTCATCGAAGCTCTGTTTTGCCCATGCTTCTGTCATATCTTGTGGCCTTTGTTTTTCTCTTTCCCCAATTTTTTTATCCATAGTATGGGGGATGCTCGTGCCATAACTTAATGGGATGTTGTTTTCATCATTCCCGAATTTGTAACTTTGTATCATTGTACATTCGTTGAGCTTGTTAACATTTGGCAACATAAAACAGCATTTATGGTGATAATTGTGTGGGAAATAGCATGTTTAAATTATAGGGGGTAGTCTAATTTATGCACATAAAAGAAACGGAGATAATACATATACTATTTTGTAAGCGTTTATAACGTATCGAACTCCTTAAACGTAACCTATTCATGATTTTCCACTCAAAAGGAATACTCTTCTGGGAAAAAGCAAATCCTTTCTATTCCATAGGACGCCTTGATAATGGACGTTCTGTCCTGCTTTAACATCCCAGGGTTGTCGTTAACTCTGGTGAAAAATGGGCGTATTATTTTGGCGAAGGGCTTCGGCGTAAAGGACGAATTCAGCCGCGAACCTGTTAAAAACACTTCACTGTTTGATATAGCCTCATTGACGAAAGCCTTCGCAGCTACTTTGCTATCGAAAGAATTACATGGAATGGGGTAAGAATAAAAGCGATTTGTTCGTAATTTGGTATATGTAAGTACACTATAACTTCACATTATATTCGTATAGAGCAGTATATTTTACTAACATTGATTTCGGTTTGTACCGGGCACGTTGTTGCATGTACATGAATTCGTTTGTCAATTCCTCTGTTGAACATAAATTGTTGGTGGAATATTTTATGTTATATTTTTTCCAAACATTGTTCTTGTCTCCTTTTTTTCTTCTTTAATATGCTTACGATAAAACTGAACTGTAACAGTCGGCAATGTTAACCCAGTTATTTGATTATTGACTCGATACCTGAACACCACAAAGTTGCTGACCTGAGCTGTTATCAGCACAAAGTTCAGGCAGATATAATGCTGGAGTACTGAAGTTCCATACTTGATAAGAATAAAAAATTACTAGCTGAAGGTTTTCCTCTTTATAGTTAACAGTGATCTAGAAGGAGTTGTAATAAAACGTATCAGATCATCGAAAGATGGATCTTGGGATCAAAGACAACATCATTAAGGTAAATGTTTTGACATAAACATACATACTATATAAATATACAGACTTTTTAAGTTCATGTTCAGTATGTGTTTTGGGCTCTTGTATTTAAAAAGGTGCCACAATTGAAAAATTGGGAAAAAAGTATCGGTGTTAGTGCTACAATATATGCGTTTTGTTTGGTGTTGCAAAGTTTTCATGCCAGCGCGGAAATGTCTGATGGGGAGTTGTTAAAGTCCTTTTACTGAAATGAATACTACCTCCCATGCGTTTTACAAAAGTATTTGACAAGCGTCGGTTCGAGTTCATTTGTTCATTTATGAATAAGAAATGACGTAGCTTCCAAAGTAAAAACATGAATCAGTGCAAGAAATTCTCATCCATACCCGTTACACATAACCATAGTCCATGTCATGGGAGCATTCATGTTCCAAATATTGAGCATCGGGGTTATGACTATGTTAAAAAAAAAAAAATAATAATAAATATATATATATATATATATATATATATATATATATATATATATATATATATATATATATATATAATCAAAAGTATGGTAAAAGTTCGTGTTTGTTTACTTGGCCAAATATCTGATATAAGTGAAGAACAGATGAACCACCGAATGATGATGTTGAAAAAAACGCATCTATACGTTTAGAAACATAAAAACGAATTACTTTCAGGTCCCAGACGCCGAAGGCAATACAATAACCATGATTGAGCACTCTGGGTTTCATTGGCCCCTATTCCCCGGGTTATCACAGCGACTGGTGGAAGACTTGGCCCAGTTCAAAGCTAGACCTGACGATACATGGATTATCAATTGGCCTAAATCAGGTAGTGGGTGATATGATATCTCATAACTTCGCAAATAAGACAGTGTTTGCATATGTGAAGAAAAGAGAAAAGTAAGGATTATTTGTTCTTTCGGTTATTAATATTTATTGCGCATGAGATATGTACTCATAACTTTCACACACACACACACACACACACACACACAAAGAAAAAAAAAGAAAAATGCGTACATTTTAGAAAAACAATCCATTCCAGCTGGGCCTAAAACTCCCACTGTCTTTTAGTCCTATGAATCACTTCTGTAATGACGAACGCATGCGATGGAGAAATTTCCAAACGCCTTTTTATAATAAGTAAGTTATTTATAATGATTGTAGGAACACACTGGTGTTAACGTTGGGAGATATGTAGGACAGCGTATGCTAGTCAATGGCAAAGCCGAAAATCCATAGTCACTGCAACTGAATGTACCCCGACGCTCTGGAAAACTGCACACCATTACCGCCGCGAGCAGTAAAAAAAAAACACGCTAGCCACACTTTTCAATTTCCAAAAGCAGCGCTGGAGAATCCCAAGCTGATCTTTACGGTTAGACATTACACGGATGAGACAATGATCAGTGTGTATTCTTGGGTGTAAGCTTATGCTAAGTGTGTGTACGGCTATTTGAAATATACCATATATAAAAAGTAACGTACATTGTATTATATTATGCATATAGGGACTCACTGGTGTTGGGAGATATGTTGTATGCTAGTCAGCGGTAAAGCCGAGCTGTTACAACAATCCAAGGTTACTGCAATGTACCCAGATTGTGCTGGGAATGCTGAAGTAGAACCCATACCATCACCGCGGGTATTAAACACCCACGCAACCCCTGATAACTTCCCAAAAGAAGCGCTGGAGAAGTCCAAGCTGATCTATACAGTAAGACATCCCAAGGATGCGGTTGTGTCTTATTTTCACCACACAAAGGGGATAAAATTTTACGACTACGAAAGAGGAACGTGGGCTGGGTTCCTGCCTGTCTTTCTTGAGGGGAAAAGTACGTTTTGAGTTCATGTTTTCTGATTTAAGATATTAAGAATTGGATTAAAATAAATGAAATTATTGCACCAATAAAAATATTTGACCTTGATTAAATATTCAAACTGATAAATCGCTCGCAGTTAATTTGCCCTCTTAAATCCTCACATTTGTTAAAGTTGGATATCGGACTTTCATGCACCTTAAAGCTTGTTGCAACTACTGGTTGTAAATTTTTTGTGTTGGTGTTTATTTGTAAATAATGGGCAAATCTTTACCTTACGGTAATTAACTAGGTGGAAATCCTGTGAAATGCCTCTTCCACTGTCGATTAAACAAAGTTATGATCGTTGGAGTCATTTAGAAAAGGACTACATAGTGTCTTTTTCACACCTGAGTTACAAATTGTTTTATGTATTATCTATAATATTGTTATTTAGATGAATACGGAGACTGGATAAACCATACAGAGTCTTGGTTGTCACTTTTGGACGGCAAACCCAACGCTCTTATTCTCAAATTTGAGGACTTGAAAAAGGTTCGGTTTTTCTGTTCTTTTCCACACTTCACCGAATTGTACAAGTAAATTCTATGTCTTGGCTCGTAAGTAAATGGCTAATTAGAGCAACAGTTATGGTAAATAATTGTGTTTATGGAAGAAACAGCACGGCTATAGGGGGTAGCTTAAGTTAGGGGTGCCTGACGCTTATAAACTAAACACAGAGTGTAACAGATGACCGGGTAGTATTTAGGCACTCACATGGCTTTAATCATTGTGAAACTAAGACATTGGAATACTAGCATTGGTGCAAGCCAGTCGGTTTTTAACTGCGATTGAGTGAAGTGATTATAGTCCATTTGAACTGTTTTATCAGCTACACTCGAAGATCACTAACTTAAAATATTATTTCAATTTCATTTTTCATGACGATCCGTCTTTCTTCCTGGTGGCTGCAAGTTCATATGGGCATTACTCATATATTTTTATTACTTTTGGATGATTAACTCCATGACAGAAAATCACCATTTATTAAAATGACAAAATGTAATATGATATGAAGTTACAAGATGGGGGATAGTAACAACATCAAATTAAATGATTACACATACATCCCCCATACAATGGAGCAAAAGGTTGGCAAAGAGCAAAACAATGGCCACAAGATGTGAGAGTTGCTCACATCCCCTCCATTACTTACACGCGTAATAATTTAAGAAGTACACTTCATTATCGTAAAGTTATAATATATAGTCGCCAAACATTTCAACTTTCTTATCATCAGACTTTACCCACGTGGCATATATTTCTTCGGAATTTCAGGACTTAAGAAAAGAGGTTCAACATATTGCCGAGTTTCTTGAAGTATCGCGTTCAGACGAGTTTTATGACGATGTTACTCGTCTTTGTTCCTTTGACAGCATGAAGGAAGGGAAATTGTCTGGCAAAGATAGCGATGTATGGAGAGCAGAGTCTCCAGGAGTCTTCAGGAAAGGTTAGTGGGAACTGGTCTTGGCATTTTCAACAGTTGATCGAGACGAAATCTTTAGTCATTTTGGGGCTACTCTTCAAATACTGAGACCGCTGGCTATATGTTGATTTTCACATAAATATTAGGGCGCTTACCTTGTTTTTCTTTCTAAAAATTAGCCGAGACTTCCAGGAAGTTGCATAAACTCCGTTTCAACTACTAAAATCGATTTATCAGCAAGTATTTACTATGTTTGTTGAATATTTTACAGTGAAAAACGTTTGTTTAAATACTTTTTGAGCGCTTAATGTCCCATGGCGGTCTTCCTAAAGGATTGAAATTTTCAGCATTACTTTGTTTTTGAAATTTTATCAAAGTGAAACTATTCAGTTAAGTTGTGAAATTCGTTATGTTTTGCCTTATTTCATTGTCGAAGACATACCACGACCGAAAGATACCATGAATGTCAGTCTCGGCTCTGTTACAATAAAAAGTAAATAGTTAGTTTTCGGGTTGATATCTAGCCTTTAAAGATTTACCTGACTACACTGCGTCTCACAAAGAATCTTGAAGACTCGTTTATTTCTATTTAATAGTTAGATCATTGCTAAATGTTCACAATCTAGGTGGTCATTAATTGTTTTGTACAGTTCTCAAAACGATCACGATTGGATGGAAACCACACAATCCCTACGCTTACTTTCGAAAGATACTATAACGTAACTCTATTTAAATATTTTAAGTTCATTTCATATTGTAAGCAGTCTTGAAAACAATATTCCTAACCTTATCCGTGGACTCTGACAGTTGCTTGAAACAAAAAACTTTTTTTCCAGTTGTTTGGAGTACAAATTATTTATTCTTTTTTTATTTTACTATTTATAGGTGAGAGTGGAGATTGGAAACGTCACTTTACTGTTGCACAAAACGAAGAGTTCAACAGACACTTTAACGAAAGGCTTAAAGACACTATCTACGCCAAGAAAATTGGTTACGAATTCCTGTAGCTTTATCTAAGAGACAAAAATAATCATCTTGGGGAGTGCTATATCTGTATGGCACTATCCTCCTCAATCTTGTGAGTGAAAGCACCTTAAAGTTATGTCAGAATAGACAGACAAATCATGGTTTGAACTACAGGAAGGTTGAAAAGGGCAAAAAAGTAGTCAGAATATAAATTACTTAAATTGTACTCGAGAAATCATACGCCTACGCTGCCTTTTCTATATTAACATTCTGCTTAATAATTATACATAGCACTCCATTATTTTTATCCATCGAATATATTCAATCAACTTACAAGTAAATTAAGAGCTGTATACCAGGAACGAAGTATACAAAGTGAATTTTAATGCTGGTGGTGTAAGCAGAGACTGTACTCACCAATGTGTCAGTAATTGTGCCAGTCCAAGCTTCGCTTATTGAATTGTTTTCTGACATTTTATTTGTGTCAAACACTTCAAATATATTTGTAATTATGATATTCCTATAAATAAAAACAACCTCTTGATTAGCGTCATGGTGAAAAAAAAAATTACATTTTGTGTAATTGTGTTATGACGTCTTCACTTTATGCGGCAATCGAATTTTAGTAGAGTTTGAGGTTATAATTGCGCTGCGTTTGCTAAGGCTTCGAGACAGCAGGTGGGTGCAATCGCACTCGCAAATAGCGCGGAATCGGCACGCTCTCGCCCGCTCGCAACATATCGAAGCTTTCGAGACATGGGCCCAGGTCGCTCAAAGGACGCACAGGTCGCTCGCAGTTTTACAGGTGAAATCAAAATCCGGTCGTTCAAAGGACGCACAAGGGACGCAGACGCCTTAACACTGAGACACAATTCATTTTCTTTGGCGATCGTTCAGCCCTCCTGTTTACATGTTTGATCACAGATGGGGCGCAGAAAGGGTGCCGTTTAATGTAATGGGGCCTTTCAGGGCGTGAATAGCTAGACGCCTGCGAGATGTGAAGTTGGCATTCCACGTTTTTTACTACTGTGATTGTGTATCAGTTCAGTATCAAGTGGCGGTGCATGTGCAATTCGAGTCGGCAATGAGGACGATTGATCTTTGGGAAATACTTGGCAACGAAAAAAGGAACGCTGTTATATCACGATGAAGTGTCTTTTTATTATTGATGCTAGCCCTTACAGGTATTTTTATTATTATTTCAGTTTCATAGCATCTTATCGATTATATTTTTGCGTAACGACGCACATTGGAAGTAGTCCAAGTTTGTATGATAATCGCACCATTTGCAGTACTATAGTTGGGTGTTTTCGTTTGTCTGCACATGTAATCGTGAAACTTTGTAGTTGATTTAAGGGCGGATGGAGGCCGTCTTCTGGGTCTTTCGGAAAACGGTCAAAACTATTTAAGTTTACATTGACGGACATTGAATTTTTTTCTAACGGAAGAGGGTAAAAAAATAAGATTTCGTTGACTATCTTCTTATTTTGTCTGTGACGGTCTTCCGTATTCATATTAAAAGCTGACAGTATTCCAAATTAACCTCCCTTAGTTGAGCTTACTACTTTATGACGCAATTAAAATGCCTGGTTACCAAAGGGTATGCAGGTGCTCGTAAATAATATTATTTATTTATTTATTAACGTGACATGTGAGAGCCTCACCCGGCCTCATGGGCCTACAAGTCACCGTACTATATAATACTACAATATATCAGAAACAGAGAATAATAATAATAGTAAAAAAAAATAATCATCATAGTAATATATATACATAAATATTAAAGCTGGAAGTTAAATAAACACTATAATTCATGGTATACTCAGCACATGTGCCGCCTTAAATAAGACTGTCTGTCTTAGACTTAAACTGTCTTTTAAATAATGTGCCAAGTTTTTAGGTTTATTTACAATTATGTGTATTAACGTTTTAATTAAATCTTCCCTGTCGACATTACTGCCGTCCAGGTCTCCCAAAAACTGGTGTCGTATGTCCACGTATAGAGGGCATATTAACACAAAGTGGACCTCATCCTCAATCAAGTTCATGTGACACAACTTACAGAGTCGGGAGGAAACCTCTTCCCCTACAATAATTAAACTTGTTAATTATGCAACGCCGCACTCCCCAAGCCAGGTAAACAGGTAACTCAACGTGTCAGGTTCTTGGCACGTATACCCTTAGTATGTTTTCAATATACCTGTATCTCTCTTTTTAAATGTTACTGGTATTTTTAAATAATATCGATATTAAAAAAAAGTGAGTTCAGACACGGTCGCAAACATTTTCGGAGAGATCGCTCTCAGGGTATCTTGAAGCGTTACAGTACCTCCGTGGAAGAAAAGGTGGTTGAGGAAAAAAAGAGAGGTAAGAGATTTGGAACCGCCCTAATAAAATGGTTGGGAGTCCTGATTCGTTCCATGAAAAAGAGTGTTGTGTCCTTTGAGAATTTATTTATTTGTTTCTAAAGATTATTTCAACCGAAATGTTTATAATTTAAAACCAAAGTTCAGTGTAGAAACCTGTAAGTGGAACGCATTCGTGGATGACGTGACTTAACAAGAAACTTGGATGGCTAAAAGGTTTTATACGTCGAGGCACAAAATAAAGCACCACACGGCCTATTGTCTTTTGACGGGAAGAGTGCTTTAAACAATAAATTGGTAACTAGTACGGATAACAGTTCACGAAAAATGTCTCTATTAATTATCCGAGTAGACCCTTTGTTGAAGAGAGAGAATACGTGATAACTCGATGTTCAGTGCCCATCTAAGTTACTCAATAACATCTATTCCCTGGAAGATAATGCATTCAGCGAAAATAACCAGAGGGTGAATTGCACAACATTTGTTCATTTGATTGACTCACTTGGGTCATTTCGAATAAAGGCTGAATTAGAACTAAACGCTCCATTGTGTGTCGTTCATTCTGGGCGGTATCGGCGCATGTGCAGTCCAAGTCATAGTCGATTGATTTATCAGGAAGACATTCTATCGGAGCAGCCAGGTAGACCAGTAAAAGCGCGATGAAGTGTCTTTTGGCATTGATGCTAGTTTTCACAGGTATTATCTTCGTTCTCACGTCATCTTGTTTAAGATCAAGTAATTCGGACATGTAGGGAAGCTTATCAGGTTTAGACTAGACAGATTTAAAATTTACGACAGTTTGATCTGCGACAAAGTGATCGCACAGTTATTGTAGAGAAGCTGACATTGGTCAGTTTTCTCTTGATAAAGTCACACACTTTAGTCTTTGATAAAAGGTATTAGTATATAAAATTGTTTTCTCGGAATTTTCAACATTTCTCTCCAAATCGGCAAGATATTTATATCGGACACCATCGACAAAATTATTTTAAAAATGTTTCTCTTATTATTCTTATTGTTTTAATAGATACTTAGAAATAACATTTCATATTTGGTATTGCTTAAAGGGATAATAACTCTTTGTATGATATCTATATTTCGCAATAAAAACATTGTGAACAACTCATAGAAATATAATATATTCTGTTTTACCACACAAACTGCAGTTATAGCTATTATTCTGATATCTGAGCTTGTCTTCAGATCACGTGACCTCCATTGATGGTCGTACTCTGTTATAATCTCTTAAGAGATTTTAACAAAAAACCAAACTTTTTAGAAAAAAACCAGGGACTAACTTTGAATGTTAAAATGGATTCATTAACCATTGGTAAGTATGGGAAAATTGTTGTTTACTCCAGGAAAATTCATTTTTTGGCCAAAACGAAGAGTTATTATCCCTTTAATCGTATCATTTTAAAAACACTTCGTGAAAAGATTTCTTGCGGTATCTAGATAAGATGATAAAACAAAGTCATTCTTGACCAAATAAAGAGAGTCACACACTTAGCTTCAATCTAACATCTACAATGTAGAGCTCGTGATCATGTGAATAGCAATTTCGCGCAATGCAAGCTCCCCAATTCTAACATAAGCCTCAAGGCACGTAAGACCATTGCCTCATCTACAGTGTAATGAGGACATATAATGACGCTACCTGCAGATAAAGGAAAGGCCACGGTGGCAAGGGACACTAACGTATACAAATAAAAATCTCCGAAATGTTGTCCCATTCTAACACCTATTAGACTCTACTTTAATTTCTATAGTTATGAAAAAATAGTTGATGTACTTTCATTACTTTACTAATTAGATATATATCCATTTGCTTTACAGCTCCGCTGACTAGCGTGCAACGGATCTCAAAAGAAGAGACTGGATTAGACGCCTTGATAATGGACGTTCTGTCCTGCTTTAACATCCCAGGGTTATCGTTAACTCTGGTGAAAAATGGGCGTATTATTTTGGCGAAGGGCTACGGCGTAAAGGACGAATTGAGCCGCGAACCTGTTAAAAACACTACACTGTTTGAAATAGGTTCGTTGACGAAAGCCTTCGCAGCTACTTTGCTATCGAACGAATTATATGGAATGGGGTAAGATTAAAACCGATTTGATTGTAATTTGGTACATGTACCGGTAAATAGGCTATAACTTCACAATCGTATGGAGCCGTATATTTTACTAACATTGATTTTGGTTTGTGCAGGGTGAGTTATTGCATGTACATGAAATTCGTTTGTCAATTCCTCTGTTGAACATAAATTGTTGGTGGAATATTATTTATTCGATTTTTTCCCAAACATTTTGTATGTCATTCCATGAGGTTTTTCAAACTAGACTAAATATATCAACTACGATCGAAGGCTAAGTGATAGATTGTTCTTTTCTGAATGAGAGCTTAAACCACTACCATATAGGACTTATTTATTAATTTTTGTCTTTGACTTCAAAATTAATTATGAACATCATTGTAAAACAAATGCGATTTTTTCCCCTCAGACTTCACTTAGACACACCGCTGACGTCAGTGGAAGGACTGCGCGATTTGAAATTTTCGACGGAAGAATTGACGTCACATGTCACAGCTCGGGACCTTCTCAGTCACAGGACGGGAATTCTCAACTACGACAAGGCCAGACTGAATGGACAGATAACGTTAGACAACCTTGCTGAGTAAGCCAAAATAACTGTCATTTGTTAAAGACGTCCAGTTTCAGACGCAACAAGCTGGATTCATTACAATATAGATGATTCTGGTTATCAGACTTACTTTTAAGATCTTTAAAGTTGGAAGTTCTTTTGGTTATAAAGTGTTCATTCGACAGTGGCGGATTTTGGGGGTGGGGAATGTGGACCCCCTGACAGCCCCCCCTTGATTTCTGAAAAAAATCACACCAATGGTCCCATGTTGAAATTTGAATTTTGATTAGCCGAATCGTAATTCTAAACCGTACCAAATGGCACCGTTCGCCCTCTAAAATACCAAATTTTCAGCGGGCCTCGAACCTCAAGCCAAGGAGAGGGGTCGGGGGCGGCTTGGCATCCTCGGCTTGACATTCCTAAAAACCGGACCCCCTTTCAAATAATCCTGGATCCACCCCTGCTTATATTCTAGAATCACATCGGTTATTTATTCGTCTTTGTTTGCTTTGTTTTTAGACACCTACCTGATTTCGAAGCAGGCTATCCTCTCAGAAGCAAATTCCTGTACAACAACCTCATGTATGGCCTAGTTGGTCACGTGACACAACGTCTGACCGGGAAACGCTGGGCAGATGCCGTGCAGGACGAGTTGTTGACACCATTACGCATGCTCAATACCGCCGTTCTCAACTCCACCAATTATGAACAATTTCATCTGCCGACACCTTACCATTTTCCCTATGACAAACCTGAAGCACGTCGAGAAATATCAACTGATATCTTGAAGTAAGTGCTCTTTGATTTGAGTTTTTTTTGTTCTTGTTTAACATGAAATTCAGAACAGGTCTTTCATTTTGTGTATTCATTATTGGTATAGATGTTATTGCAAACGAACAAAAATCCTGATTATATTTTTTTTACTTCATTTTACAGATTATGGTCAATGAATCCCCCATCAATGGCTATCGTTTCCGATGCAATAGACATGGGGAAATGGCTACTGTTTCAACTTAACGAAGGCAAGGCGGAGGGCGGCCTTCAAGTAGTTTCGAAGAAAGCCCTTACAGAAGTTTACAGACCAGTGATTCTAGCACTTCATCCCCGCAACAAACTAACAGTCCGGCCCACTACTCCGGTCACATTGCTTTTTGAAGAATATGGCTGTGCTTGGAAAAGTGGCCATTACCGAGGTACAAGAAGTTTGGTTGGCACTTTTCAGTCATAATAAGTGATTTTAATTATTTCCCATTTACTTTATTAATTAAATAATTGTTTGTTTGTTTGTTAATTCCTTTCTTTCTTTCTTTCTTTTTTTCTTTCTTTCTTTGTGGTGTTGATGAAGAAAGATGTTTGAGAATATTCTTTCGGTTATTTCATTATCATTTTAATCAAGTCGCAAAGTCCTCTACCTCTCTTAAGACCCTATGAAAAGGGACTGATGACCCAGGAATGCTGCCTTAATTTTTTGTATTATTTACTTAATCTATGCGCACAGTGGACTTTTATTATACACCTGGAACCTACTAGTATATGACCGTTTATACAAGAACCCCATTCCCATATAGACACACCACAGGCCCACGTACCGATAGATCGATCCATCTCTGCAGGGACTCTTGCTAAGTGCATTCAGCTCTACTAAATGGCACACCTCATTTCCAACGTACTCGAATATTCACCAACTTTTTTGTATAATACATTAATTAGACCAAGGCGAGAAGTGTTAACATATTTACCTGATTGTACTCAGCAAGAGCCCCCAAAGGATTGGGTCGATTCACGTAGACCGATCGATGGTGTCTATGGAATTGGGCCTAAGACGCACTAAACAAGTGGGACCTAGAATTATATTAAAGTTAATATACTCTGTCACCTAATTGTTCTCGTAACAGAGACAGGTAAATTTTTAATATTTGCTAGAAGGAGATAATTTAATGGAATTGTGACAGCATGAGATATGGAAAAAACGGTTAGGGGTTAATATATATTTTTATTCCCGTTCCTCGTTTTAGGATACCCTATAGTGGCGCACACCGGGTCAACTCACGGATTTTCTTCCATTCTCGCATTTATTCCATCAAAACAGAGTGGCATATATTTGAATTTCAACACAAACGACAGGCCTCACCTGCGAAGGCACGTGTTGATGGCGCACTTGTTGGACATCGTTTTGGAGGAGAAACCATGGCTGAACAGTTCCACGATTTGCACATTTCCCGCTCCATTCGCTCAGTGGCAACACATTCACAAGTCAGGAGTGAACAAAACCCCGGATACAGTTGGAGCAGGAACAAGACCACTCAACAATTATGCTGGGCAATATTACCACCCTGTATTTGGCACCGTCACCGTAGTACATAACGCCACAGAGCCGTTTCTCCGCATGTTTTATGGACCGCTAGGACAGTGGGTGCTTCATCCTAATAAATCTGATGAATTTTATGGGGAGGGCGAGGGCGCCGTTTGGAACTTTGTTCTTTCGGGTCTCAAGTTCGGTAGCCAAAACAAAAAAGGTGGTGAAATTGATGTTTTAGTCATAACATCTTTTGAAGAGAGAAAACCCCCAATTTTTCTGAAGGTGACGGGAATACAGACGACATTTGTTTCGGATATAGGCTTTCTCTCTTACCTTATGTTAGGTTTGTTTACTTTACTGGCAAGGTATAAGTTGAAAAAGTAAATTTGAACATTAAAATCGTTTAAAATGAAAGGAAATTATTTTTGTACATGTATATATCTGAGCGATAGGATTACGGAGGCTTAGGACTAGCCTACAACGATAAGGGCCTACTAGCCTACAGGCCTAACTTATATATATTTAACTCCTATTTATTAGTAATTTTTAATAGTTTTGTTTAGTCAATAAAATGGGGGCGTCTCGATAGTCCGAAGGTTAATTGGTCCGAAGGTTCATTGGTCCGAAAAGTGGTAACATTTTTATGGATTTTTTAATCAAGGGTTCATTGGTCCTAAGGTTCTATATTGAACATTCGGACCAATGAACCTTCGGACTATCGCTACGGCCCCAATCAAATTACCCACCCAACATATTAAGTATTGGTACATATAGATCGAGACACTTTGTAATTGTGAGAGCAACTTACACACCATATGCCTACGTACCGGTAATTTAACATATTTAAACACATCACCCTACATTTTTATTATTTCCAGGATAATAATGTAAAATTCACTACGAGTAGATCTGTAACCCCCCCTGTGTATTTGTAGACTCGTCTGTGCTAGCCCCGTTGCTGTCACTGTATTTAGGTCAAATTATTGCATAGCGGGTAGTAACGTGTTCAGTCTCGTGAGGGGTATCGGCTAGACTTCGTTGGCCAGTAACCCCCATGTTACAGAGATTATTAAATGGCGTGATCGATCTGGTGAGGGGTATTATGCGGATCTTACAGTTTTGCCAGGAACCCTGATATTGGTAAGTTACTCTTAGAATGCATGTTCGTCACTTGCTCACACGGTACCTACAGGATACACGCCGGTCTAGTTCTAGGAAGATGCATCGCCGTAATTTCACTGTAGGAGTCGATGAAGCAAGCGATTCATACTATTGGTATGTTTTAAAATGAATTTATAACCGTGATTTAGGTTTTTTAAAGATTGAGTGCGCAAGAAAAGCTTTAACTGCTAACGTAGCGGTCTTTGTGAAAGCCATTTTTGATCGTTAATCGACTATTGAGTTGAGTGTGATCTTATTGTACCCTGTATTAATTAAATTAGTATCGCTATGTAAAGTATATGTTGCCAAGTAGGCTATCATTCAGAATTTGTCGCTTATTACCTGTTTAGAATAAGTTACGAGAGTTTACTTGTCTATTTTTCTAGGAGATTTGGGAGATTTCTAAGAATTGCGCTACTTATCAAATTCGACGTAGGCTAAAGTGTAACTACATGTATGTGCGTTTCTACATGCGCTGTCAATGTAACAGTTTTGTGTGTTGTCTTTTGCTTCTCTTGTTTGTTGTCTTATGATAATCGAAATATTTTACTAGCGGTTTCATTATATTGCAATAAATCCGTTTGCTTTTGCTAGAACAGAAGAGCTCAAGATATTCATGTCATAAATCTTCCAAGGTCATGTTTAAATAGGTCACTGGTACGGTTGTGGTTAGATGTGCATTGCAGTGTCATTAGTGCACCGATAGTAATTTATAATTGCTTAGCCTTTAAATATTACGTATATGGCGTTAAGACGCGCTTCTCTATGCATTTAGGACTGTGTTATTATGCTAAAGTGACAGGAATGACGAAATCGGTGCAAAGCTTTCGCTGTGGGTAGGTGAATGCGGTAGTTGAGATTGTACATCGTTAAATCCAACGTATGATGTTACATGTGTCACTCATTTTTGTATGCATGGATATTAAGTACCCTTTACCAGGGCGGCAGATTATATAAGGAAAAACGAAAAATCCATGACACAGCCATATAACTGTCTATTTATCTAGAGGAATATCCGTGAAAAATCGATCTGTCGCCCTGGTAGAGGGTAGATCACGAGACTCTCGACGCATTCCGCCTGAATTGCGTTATCTTCTTACATTACTTTACAAACTTGTTTATAACATTTTACTGGCATAAATTAAAAATTATATCTGTAGACTTTGTTAATAATTAGCCGTGTATAAGTTTAAAGTGTATTATTAGGCCTGTCTATTATTTAAGATCTTTATTGATGCGGATATGTAAATAAATCAATTGAAGTTTGTCTTTGTCATTCCGACCCGTAATCAAGCCGCGGCATCAGAAATTAATACCACTAGATTTTCGTATGAGACGAAGCTCTGACATTTCTGATACCAGTAGACCTGCATTTTATTGATAGTTTCTACTTTAAACCAGCTCATTCTATGTGAAGTAACGTTATGACTACAGGAAAGAGCATTTATGAACACCTGAAAAAAAAAAAAACTTTATGGACAAGACCTAGGACATGTCAAGAAATTCAAGCTAAGGGACTACCATCATGGAAGATGCGACAAGTGTGTAAGAGTAAAATAAGAATCGGAGCAGCCAAAAATTTAGAGGGCATTGGCTTAATTGGAGAGAATGTGAAAACACCCATCTAATAGGGCTATACATATATGTACAAGTTCCATCTAAGGAGCTGAAAAGTAAACAAAATGAAACTAAAATGAAACTGATAAAGAACTATATATAATGGTGAAAAGAATTTTAATGTAGGCCTACGGATCCGAGAGTTGGACTTTGTCAGAAAAGATGAAGAATTGATCATGGCTTTTAAAATGTAGAAATTATCATGGCTTTTGTATTCAAATGTTACAGGAGATCGCTGGGTATCAGCTCGAGAGAAAAGGAAGAAATGACTATGTGCAGGCCCGAAGCCAGAAATTCCAAAGGGGGGGAGGCTTTTTCTGAATAAAAGTAGACCTTTTAATATAAAAACTGCAGCATGTACCAAGATCAAATTTTACACATAGCGGACCTTTTCCCAGCAAAAAGGGTGATTCTTTTGAACCCCCCGACCCCCCCCGGGCTATGGGCCTGATGTGTGGAGCAAAATCGGGAGCAAATTTGAGGACTGTAATATCCCTCTAATCATTTTACAAGGCCCGTAGCCAGCAATTTCAAAGGGGGGGTTCTTTTTCTGAAAAAGTGGACCTTTTCCCATATAATCCCCATGTACCTAGGTCAAATTTTCCCCAAAGTGGACCTTTTTCCAGCAAAAAGGGGGGTTCTTTCGAACCCCCCTCCCCCCCGGCTATGGGCCTGATGTGTGGAGCAAAATCGGGAGCAAATTTGAGGACTGTAATATCCCTCTAATCATCTTATAAATGCCACCTTGGAGAGAAAGGTAAAGTTCTTCGGACACCAAATAGAGATAAATTGCCATATGTTCTTATTCAAGGCTGCTGCGACGAAAAAAAAATGTCAAGGGAGACTGATGAGGACTTAGGAAGCATGATATCAAGGAATGAATACGTTACAACATACGGGAGGCAGGCTGGCGAAATGAAGACCCTGTGAAATGGAGAGCAGATATCAAAGCTTGGATGGACCATGGAAGTATATGTCGTCTACGATATGATGCCCTGGGTGGACGTATAGGCTTTGTTTTGATGGTGATGATGTTGATTACGCATAGGCCTACTATTTCCTCCAAGTTCCTTGAAATTTAAGATTTTACTGTGATCATTGTAAATTGTGAAATAATCTTGGCATTACACAGTCCATTTTCATTAACTTAAACGTACATTTCCATAGATCAAATGGGTCTACTTAAATCTACACAGCTCTGCGGGGATTCTCGTTGCAGAGTGCTAAATCTGATTAACACGCTTCTTCTGGCATTAAGTAGAATAAAGAAAACCTTTAAGTATATAGGTACGTAGACAAAAGAGGGTGTACAGCCGCATATTGCAACTGATCGGATTTTGCAACTGCCACGCATTTTTAAACTAAAGAAAATCGTAAACACGCAATTTGCAACCGCAACGCATTTGCAAACAATTTTTTCTTAAGTACCTGAATCGGTACGAAGCAGGTAGAATTGGAATGGGGACGCGGTTGCCTCGACTAGGTTCGCTGAATCTAATCGGGCTGACCCTGGGACGGACTTTGATATATGTAATCTATTCCACACTGTAATTTCTTAGTCCATAAGAGTTGAATAGAATCATAGGAGATAAATAAACCTAGGGATATGTATCGACATTTTACTTTAGATGTGGCCGTCTCTGGGGGTGGTTGGCCGTAATTTTAAACGTCTTTAGAGTGAGGAAGTTAAAGCGTCGGAGATTAATTAACCTATGGATAAGAATGTGCATGGGCACTTCCAATTTTTTGTGACTAGGGGTATGGCTGAGCCTAGGGGTGGCACCCTGAGCTTCATAGATAACTTGACACTAACCTCTTCACTAGTTACTTGACACGATGAAGATAGGCTATAGTGAAGAGGTTAGTGTCAAGTTATCTCTGAAGCTCAGGGTGAGGGGTGGTTGATTCATCATTGTAATTTTTCCATTGCAATTTTTGCTATCTAACCTTAGATGTATAGATTGAGGAAGTTGAAACGTCGGGGATTAATAAACTTATCGTTAGGGATGTACATAGGCACGAGTTTTTTTTTTTACTTGGGGTGTGGCCGTCCCTAGGGGTGGTTGGTTTTAATTTTTACATCGTAATTTATGGTATCTATCTTTAGACCATTAGAGGAAAGAACACAGTCGTTGGGGATTAAATAACCTATCATAAGGGATGTACACTTGCATGATCACAAAAACCCAGAGGGATCAACACATCCCCAAAGACAGGTTTTTAAATCCCCATAGCCTTACGTTCCCAATTTTAATGGTCCAAGGGTAGATGGCAGAAATTGCAATGCCACATAAAATTCTACCGCCCCTAGAACCACACCCCAAGTAAAAAAAAAAAAATTTCCAATTGAAGTGCCCTAGCTTCCACATCTCAAATATTAGGCCAACTGTTGCTAGGCCTACGTACGTTTCATGTTTCTTACTCAAACGGCTGATACTATGGGTAGATAGCTGAAAAAACGATGTAAAAAATTACCCCCCTCCCCCAGGGACAACCACGCCCCAATTCACAATTAAAAGAGTATGGATTGCAAACCCCTAATGAAAGATTAATTAAACTCCGACGTATCAAGTAAGTTTCTAACTATGATGGTCTGAAAAGGAACAATGTGAAATATCGTATGCACCTCTGGGTTTGTAGCCTGACCAATGTCAGCGTACCTAGCAGAGGCAACCCCGTCCCCTTTCCAATACTTCACACCATTTCAGCAAGGATTTTCAACTGTTGAAACTCCTTGGTTTCAGTAACTTGGGAAAAATCTTGGCTGCTAATTGTGCTGCAGTTGCAAAATTTGTTTTCATGATTTTCTTTTGTTGCAAAATGCGTCGCAGATGCACAATGCGGCTCTACAGAGAGCATATCACATAATT